AAGCTGAGCTGCGAGCTGATGCGCTTCCCAAGGGATGCTTGGCTGGGCTGGGCACTGGGAATGGATCAGGTCCCTTTTCCATAACAATACCAAAAGGAAAAGTGCTTTAAGTAACTTAAGATCAAGTTAAGTATTTCAACCTGTTCTTTGTTCAGCAGTTACACAGGGTAGCACCAGCCCTTCTAGCTCGCCGTAGTTAACCCTTGCTGCCATCTGGAGCACTGGATACATCTGACCAACACATTTTTTTAAAAAAATTCAAGGATCAGTTATTGTGTATCTTTGTTTTCTTCTCAGCAGCTGAGGAATAACCTTCTATTATCTTTTTCTCTGGCAGGAATTTAAGCAGCCACAGAATCCAGTCCCTTATGTGATTTCTAATTTGTCTCTTCTAAAGAGTTACTGCCAAAGCAAAGACCACTTCCCATTTTTCCTCAGTGAGAAGGTGTTACACTTCACAACCAAAACCAGCGGCGTCTTCTCAAAATGGTAACGAACAAGGAGGAGAAGGAGGAAGCAAATGGTCTTTTCAAAAGGGACAATTCTTGATAGGTGCCCTTGATTTTTGCTCTCTCTTTCTCTTACTGTTCTGCTGGCAGGTGAACTTTCTTAAATTAAAATAAAAAACCACAGAAAAAGATCACTAACTTTTAATCTCCTGTAGTTAACCTGTAACACTCCCCTGCCCAGGAGGGGGAACTTGTGGAGTCAGAGAAGATATCTGCAGTGCCAAAAATACCCCCCCCCCAACCCCCCCCCCCCCCCCTTTTTTTTTTTCTAACAAGTAATTCTTGTTCCCCTCTCCAAACTCCCATGAACAAAAATCAACAGTTTTCTTTTCAGCCAGGCTGGAGAGTTTCAGTGCTGCTCAGTTTGTACCTTCTGTCCAGCCGTGTTGTGCATGACTGCACAAATCGTTACCTCTGAAATAAATGCCCTTTATATCTGTCTTGTTTTCATTAGATGGTCAACAGCTCTGAAAGTGAAAGCTGGCTGGCACAGAGGCTGCTTATTTTTAGTGTTTATATAAAATCTCTCACTGTGGCATTCAATTCCCCTGCAAAAATGGTATTAAACTACATATATATATTTTTTAATAACATCTGTATGTGTGCACACGTCTAGTGGGTACCGAGTGATAACGGCAGCTTGGCTACAACATCCCAGAGAGGAGGATGAAGCTGTGCCTTCAGCCCCAGCCTTTGCTGGGAGAAGTATCTGGCCTTGGTTTATTTGGGAAGGAACCAGACTGATCAGGCAGCACCCGCTTCCCCTGCTGCAATATTTATTCCCTGGATGAGTGTATTAGAAAAGGAGGAGAAACCATCATTCAGCTTTAAATCTGCTGCAGGCATCACATTTCAGAGACGGTGCTTCAATAAACCATCAGGTTTTAAAATAAATTGGCATCCAAACCTGAAAGGAGGAGGATGTCGACATGTTTTACTACTGGATTTAACAAAGACTTCCTCCCTACCCAAAGCTGGTGCTCAGCCGTTTCCCTCTAACTGCAAACACAGCCCCGTGGCCTTCACAGTTTGCTCACAGCACAAATAAATAACCTGCTGGGAAAGAAGAGGTTTTTTTTGTTTCTTTAAAGAGCTAAACTGGGCTCTAAGCGGTACCAACAAAGCAGGCAGCTGCTATAGAGGAAACCGTTAAAATCCACCGCGACTGCTCCTGCTGGTGTTCCACAATAAACGTATCTGGAGAGAAAATTAATTCAAACAGTCGTTAATAATAGAAACCTCAGAAACTTACTCGATAGGATGTTACTTATTTGCAGAAACCAGGTTTGCTTTCATTAGAAATAACACTATTTCCTACTCTTTTTTTTTTGTTGTTTTTTTTCTATTTTTTTTTCCCCCTCTAACAATTCCTCTACAACCCTCGTTGTCCTGCACCAGCTCCCTGACGTCCCTCCCTCGCTGCGTGAGATCCTGCTGGGGACAAAGACTCTGCGCAGGGTCCGGCACTGTGAGTCACGGTTTGTCCCCCATCGCAAAAGAAATCACAGCCTGCTTGTTAGCTCTGTGCAAAAGAGTTTTCCAGTGCAATGATGCCCTGAGGAAAAAAAGAAAGGGGAGAAACTGGTGTTCCGTGCTGCCCACGCATCTCATGAGTCACAGCTGGGTAGAACCGGTGGACAGATCCAGCAGAATCCAGTGTGTTCTGCCCTGGGACGGGGCACCCGTGGAGTCTGCGCAGCGTGGTGCTGCCGGTGGGGACCTGCTCGGTCTCAGTCCTGCTCCTGAGTTCCCAGGCTGGACTTCAGGAGCCCCTTCGGTGTTTTTTCTGTTCGTGGTACTCTGTTATTTTCCGCTGGAAATATGCTGTGGATGAGAAAAGGTCGTTGGTGAAACGCACAGCCCGGGTCCTGGGGAGAGAGTGGAAGAATTTCTTTGCTGAAAGGGTTCTGAGGCATTGGAAGGGGTTGCCCAGGGCAGTGGTGGAGTCCCCATCCCTGGAGGGATTTAAAAGACAGACAGATGTGCTGCTGAGGGACATGGCTTAGTGGTCATGGTGGTGTTGGGTTGATGGTTGGACTTGATCTTAGAGGTCTTTTCCAACCTTAATGATTCTATGATAACTGCATCCTCTTGCACTCTCTCTGAGTGCAGCAAGACCTCAGGGGTGGCAAGTCCCAAGCTGGGATGTCTCTGGCCACTGGAGATGTTTTGAGTGGCTTCCTCAACCTCTGCTGCCCCTGTTTGTCCTCATCACAGTCTAGGAGGAGGGTCAGCTCTGCCCAGTGCTCTGTAAATCCCCTGCAAGGGGAAAGGACCAACCCAGCTGCCACGGGTCCGCGCCGGAGCCGGGGGTAGAGATGAGTCAGGGCTGGCAGGAGCCGGCTCCCAGCTGCTGCCCGTGTCCAGGCCAAATATTTGCGCTGCTACTGGCATGTTTGTCTAAACACCGAGCGCTCAGTGAGCCTGTCCTGTCTCCAGTCAAGCAACAAGATCTACAATGAGCCCAGGGGTTTTTTTAGATTGTTTGACAGGGACAGAAATGCAGCTGCTGAGAGGAAACGGGTGCTACTCGCTGCCCTGAGCATCCTCAGCCTTGAGCTGCATCCTCCTCCGGGCATGGGGCAGCTCTTTCCTTTAACCCAACAGCCCAGGACTTTGCAGAGCTCACCCGACCAGAGAGGGAAGGACAGATGGGGCCATGTACCTTCTTGTGGGATCCTGCTCTTCTCCGCTTCCTCAATAAATAAGGAAAACATGTTGGTCTTCACAAACTTCTTCAGAAACTTGCGGTTGGTTTTGGAGGTGATGGCTTTGCAGAAGGCTCGTTCCTGGAAGGTGCCTGAGCCATTTTTACTCCACTTGATGTGTGAGGCGTAGTGACCAACCATTCGGACAAAGAACTGCACGAAGGCTTCAGAGACCAGCACGTTCACCTGCTCAGAGGCTGGAAGAGGATACGGAGCGTGAGAGGTGGGGATGGGACCTCTGAGCACGGAAAGGACAGACCTGTTTTAACCTGGCTGAGTCACAGTCTCTGCACCCTGAGAAATGATTTGCTTAAAACCTCCCTCTGCCAGTAAACACGGATCAGACTCTTTTGCTGAGGGAGCTCTGGCTGTGTTTGCTCTCCAGGGTGGTGGCATCTTTGTGGGACACATATTGGCAAAACCTCATTTTTTTCAGCACAATTAATTGCTCCTGCTCTCATGTTTTGCAGGACAGGAGAAAGACCAAGGAATTTCTCTCCTGTGGTTTCATTTTATTGCAAATTGGGGCAGAAACATCCCAGGCCAGGTCTCTTTAGGAAAACCATCTCACTGAGGACTCTGGCCATCTGCAGAAGTCAGCCTGCATCTGTTTTACCGTATATAAAGAGATGCTTCTTACTGTGTACGTTGTTGTTGTTGTTGTGCCTGTTCAGAGATGTCAGCACCTCATTCTGCAGCTTAATGGGCAAGATCTCCTCCTCATCACCGACCTGGAAGGCAACAAGGCTGTGAAGCACTTGGCACTGGTGGGAACCCGGCTCAGATGGCCACAAGCAGTGGTTAGTGAAGCCCATCAGTGGGGCTTTCTGCAGAGCTCATTAATTAATTATCATTGCAGGGTGCTGTAGTGATGCTGGGAGTGGGATGCCCAATACACAGACCCTGCTGCTCTGGCTCATGACAAGACAGATGCAGTGGTTGGAGACATCCCTTCGTGGGACGTTCCTCCTGGATGGGTGACACTGAGTTGTCTCTGCCCTCAAAATGTCAAAGCTGCCAGGTAGCTGGGACCGAGGGGGAGAGGGGCCCTTCCTGGGGTGACCCAGGCCAGGGACCCACCCCCACACCCTGCACGAGGGGACCTACCGCCCGAAGGATCTTCCCTTCGCAGAGGTCAACCATCAGAGCCTGAAAGAGAGCAGAGAGTGGCCAGGTTTAGCCCCACCAAAGCAGCCAGGCTTCCTCCCACCTGTTTTATGACCAGATCTATGTGTGCAGCCCATGAGGGCAGCAGGAGAAGGATCAGTCCCTCTGTGCTGGAGGGACCTGGGCAGGGGCACCAGGGCATCCCCCCAGGGACTGTTTGCCCCAGGCTTGGTGGCTTTCTCCACTTCCGCAAGGTTGAGATGATGCCAACAGCCTGCCTGGCTGACAGCAGCTCCCCGAGCACCAAGGGTCAGGGCTGCAGGTCCTGGGGTGGCCAGCAGCACCCATGGGGACAGGGAGGTGTTGACCCAGGTGCCAACAGGAGGGACATACAAGAAGCCCCAATCTCCAGCCTCCCTGGATGGGAAAAGGGCATAACCAGAGGCTCCAGCCCCGGAGCCACCCCAAACCCCAGGGTCATGGATATTAGGAAAAAATTCTCCACTGAAGGGTTGTCAAGTATTGGAACAGGCTGCTCAGGGCAGTGGTGGAGTCCCCATCCCTGGAGGGATTTAAAGGACAGGTAGATGTGGTACTTGGGGACATGGTTTAGTGGTGGACTTGGCAATGCTGGGTTATGGTTGGACCAGATGATCACAATGGTCTTTTCCAACCAAACTATTCTATGATTCTATGAACTGATGGCTCCATCCAGATGTTTTCCCCCACTCAGATGAAATACCTCCTCCATCGGCTGGTCCAGGACCCGCTCCAGGTGCCGCATCTGGATGCCAACCATGAAGGGCGTGGGGCAGCAGACGGTGTCGAGCAGGCACTCGGGGACCACAGGGATGTAGGTGTGAGCCCAGGTGAAGGGGTAGAGGAGAGCAGCCACTGCGTGGATGCACTGTGACAGGACACTGCGGGACAAGGAGCCATCGTGGTGGCATTGCATGAGGAACATCCCACCCTGAGCTCAGCTGCATCCCCCTCTCCTTCAAGGGTTTCTTTTTGGTTTTATTTTTAAATAAAGAGATCAGGACTCACCTCAGCTCCTCTGCGAGGAAAATGAGCCGTCGCTCCAACACGGCAGAGGCAAAGATGTGCAGGATGAGGTGGGGGCTGAGCCGCTGGAGCAGAGCCTGAAACTCCACGTGCTCCAGGTGGGCATCCACAGGCCGTGTGAGCTCAATGAGCTGCCAAGGGAGAACCACCAAACCCTGGCTTAGGAGGTGAAATGCTCCCCCCGCACCACCCTGGCCCCCTGAGAAGGTGATTTGGGAGCAATTTATGACCCAGAGTTTGCAGCATCTGCAGCACGTCCCTGCAAGGGACAAACCTCATCTCGTCCTGCCTGGAGCTAACGCAGCGCTGAGGATGCAGGAGAAGCCAGCAGCAGTGTGTGCTGTGGGGTTTTTTTTTTAAATAGGGGCACTGGATTTTTAACCAAAATGCCTCTTTTCTGCAGTGCTAACAAGTCCCTGGTAGGAGATCAGCAAGGACACGCTCCGAGTTCAGCATGACAGCTCATCTGTGAGCAGCAGCTGCTGGGACAGGGAGGAGGGATAAGGGCATGACTTTTGCTATAAAAACCACAAAAACTTCCTCAAAAGACTCTCTGGGAGGGCCAGCCCACCTCATCCCACCTCATCCCACCTCAGCCCACCTCATCCCACCTTGGATGGCCCAGAAGTGAATTATCTAACGGATATTTGCATGTGGTCTGTCTCTTCTGCTGGCTTCACCCCGGACAAGAGTCTCCCAAACCTGGTCAATAACGCTACGAGCAGCTCCCAGACTGCAACTGCTGAAGGGTTAACAGGATTGTACAGCTCCTGACACAGCCCTGGCCCCTCTCCCCAGTTTTATGGGGGGAAAATCCCCCTTCTCCACGTGCCAGGCTGCCTTCCCAGCCAGCAGCATCTTCCCAGCCAGCAGCATCTTCCCAGCCAGCAGCATCTTCTCCGCCAGCAGCCCATCCGCCAGCAGCACAGGGCTTGGCTGGGCTCCGAAGCCCCTTTCCAGCACAAATCCTGCACAATTCCCAGCTCCCAGCTCATGCAGGACCCAGGATTTATTTTTCACCCCTTTCCCTGTTTTCTCCCTGATCTCTTTGACTTGCTCCAGCCCCTGCCCAGCACCCCAAAGCTCAGCTCTTTCGAAGAACATCCTCCTCACAAATCTTCCCTCACGGTCACCCCCAGCCACATTCCCTGCAGCCCAGCCTGGCCGGCAGCCAGAGCATTGAGCAACCTGCAGAGCCCTTGCACAAGCCTTCCTGGATGAAGAAATCTCTTGCAATTTGAGATCCAGCTGCTAAATTGCACTAGAGAGGAGGGATCTTGCTCTCAGATCCACCCTGGCAGGATGCATCCCTGGGACGCTCAGCGCTGAGGTGATTTTCACAGAACCATAAAATGGTTTGGGTTGGAAGGGACCGTAAAGCTCATCCAGTCCCAACCCCCCTGCCAGCAGCAGGGACACCTTCCACTAGACCAGGATGCTCAAAGCCTCATCCAGCCTGGCCGAGA